TGTGTGTGTGTGTGTGTGTGTGTGTGTGTGTGTGTGTGTGTGGCGGCGGGGGTGCTGCCTTCGCCTGGGCCTTCCAAGATTGTTGTGTGGGCCTGCCCTCTCCCAGCAGCCCCATCTTCTGCCTTGGCCAGGACCACCCTTTTGGCCTCCTGGACCCAGCCTTTCTTGGGTCTGACCGAATAAAACGGCCTTCCTTACGGATCAGTAAGTCACTCTTCTTCCTGCCTCTCTTGCACTCGTGGGCTGTACATATGTTACACAGATGTGGTAGAGATTGGTATTTTCTAATATACTCAGCATATGCCAAATTCAGTTGTTACCTGTTGCAGGTCAAGCTGGTTTAATGACACTTGGGGGTTCAGTACGCATGTTCATCTGGGCTTCACGTTACACACATTCTATGGGTACTTTGTGCCCTTAGTTTGGGGCATCAATTGAATGTGTTCTCAAATGCAAGTGTTCATTTCCTCCTCCCCTAGATACTGGTCATAGGGTTCCCCAGTTCCTCAGGGATCTATAAAATGACTGCCTTGTTCCTAAATTCAATCTATTTTTCTGTTGTTGGAACCATCTGGGAACTTGCATCAAACGATATACTTGGAGATGTTTTCTGTTTCCCTATGGCAAAGCATTTTGGGGACAGTGTGTTGGAACTGGTCCTGTGATAAGACAGCCTGCAGGGTTGGTTTTGCCCAATAAGCACAAAGAGATGCCTGAAGGTGTTCTTTTTGTGCTTCTCAGGTTTTAGCCTCACTGTTAGCCCAACAGGGCAGGTGGATGTGTGTGTAAGTTAGAGATTGGGAGCATTGTGGGGTTCCACCCTCAACTCTCTTACTTATTTCCTTATCTTTCTTTATTTTGAACAACAGTACACCAATATATAGGGCATGAAAAGGGATGACTAGCACATCTTTCCATGTCATTTAGTGAAAAATAGAGAGCTCTACCCTCCTGTTAAAGCTCTGAGTGTGTCCCTTCCTGAACCACATTCTGGCTTCCCTACAAAAGTGAATACTCTTCTGGATTGTGTTCCTCTACTCTGTCTGTCTCTCTTAATTATAGCTTTATTAATATGAGTCTGTAAGAATATATATATATATATATATAAAATATCGAGAGAGAGTATTCTACTTGCCTTGGTTGGTCTGGAACTCATAGAGATCTGCCTATATCTTGCTTCTCTAGTGCTGGGATTAAAGGAATGCACCTTCTTCCTGGGTTCAATGTTTTTGGAGCTTGTAATGAATGTCTCATACTGTATGTATTCCGTCACTTTTAACTCAGGCTTGTGCAAGTTATCAATATTGTTTGGTAGCTCTTAAGTTTTTAGTACTTTCCCTAATGGATAATATTTGGTTATATGAATTACTATTTGATTCTGATGAATATTTAGGTTGCTTCCTGCTAACATGGGAAGTAGAATGCGTATATGTGTAGTATGGATTTGCCCAGGATTTGTGCTCCTAGGCAGAAGTTTCCTTAGAGTATATGTGTATGTAGGACTGGAATTGCTGCCAGAAGTGTGGGTTTGAAGCTCGAGATGACGGTAGACTGCCATTCCCACCCTACACTCGGCCATTCGTGTTCTCATTCGCTGCTCTAATTTTATTGTCCGCTTTCTCGGTTCTTCCTTTAAGGAAATCAGGAACCATAGTAATTTACTTTGGCCAGAGCCCTAGCATGACACCAAACTCAAGTGAGATCTTGTTGTGGAATGGTGCAGTATGCCTTTTGGCTGGGCAGGCCTCTCTCCTTCTGTGTGGGCCTTTCTCTTGCTGAAGTATGCTGCTCCTCCTAGTCACTGCATCAGAGTCCTCTGCTCCATCCTACAGGGGTCTGCTGTTAATGAAACATGTTCTCCTTTGTATCTGGGAGTGTTTGAATAGTGACCTTTGGGTGGTTGCCTTTTCTGGCATGTTAGATTTAAAAAACATGAATTGATGGTCAGAAGCTGTCACAAAGGGAAACAAAGAGAAGAATCACTGATGTTGAGTTTTGGTTTGACCGTTAAGAGCTCTTGGTTACTAAAAGGCCTGCATAATAAATTACTGTCCCAAGATACAGGGTAGGCATTCTGTATGTGGATGCGTATAGTTATGTCTTGTTTACTGTCCAGTCCTGGCCTATCATCTGCCCTTCTATGACTGTTTTTTAGCAACTATCCTTGTGCCTCCCAGCACCTTGTGAAACACTTGTGCTTCTTGGAGCATGCTGCATGTCTTCAGGATAGAAAACTCCCTGTGGGGAGAAAAAGGCCGATATTGGCCCTTCTAAGTATTGAGTCATTTGGTGAATTGTTGTTTCCTTGTTCATGTTACTTAAAATATACTGACAGCATGAAACTGTATAGAACCTGGAACTAACGTTCTTCTCTCATGTAACTCCAGCGCAACACAAACCTATGAGCAATAGGCAGCTAAGCCATGCAAATCTGAGGTTAGGTGTGCATAGGAACACGTGGGAACTAGGCATACTGGCATATGCCTAGAGCACTTGGGAGTTTGAGGCAGGGTGATTAATGACTTAAGGACAGCCAGAGTTTCATAGTTTCAGGCCAGCCAGGGAGATAATAACAAGATTTAGTTGAGCCGGTGTGTGATGGCACACGCCTTTAGTCCCAGCACTTTGGAGACAGAGACAGGTAGATCTCTTTGAGTTTGAGGTCAGCCTGCTCTACAAGAGCTAGTTCCAGGACAGGCTCCAAAGCTATAGAGAAAGTGTCTCGAAAACAAACAAACAAACAAATAAAAACAAAGACTTACTGAAAACAAAACTGAAAAGCAATCAGTACTATAGGAGTGGGTGTGTCACCTAGTACAGAAAAGAGTGTTACAGTAGGAAGGTAATGCTGCTATCCTTGATACTTTTGAAAATTTTGCTTGTTTTTGAAAAAAATAATTTCCTTTATTGTATGTTTAAATAAAGGTAAGCATTATAGATGCTTTTAGGTACATGTCTGCTCATTTTTATTGTTTACTAAATTCTCAGGATTGATAGTATTATTTTTAAAACTTTCAAAAGCATGCTCACAGTTGGCTTTAAAAAGGCTTAATTGGCCAGGCTGTGGTGGTGCATTCCTTTAGTCCCAGCACTCGGAAGGCAGAGGCAGGAGAATCTCTATGAGTTCCATACTAGCCTGGTCTAGAGAGTGAGATTCAGGACAACCAGGGCTACACAGAGAAAAACCTGAAAAACAAAACAACACAAAAAAATCAAAACAAAAAGGCTTAATTGTTCTTTGCTTTGTTGTTTTTACCAACATTTAAAATAGCAACAACAACAAAAAACAGCATTAACATGTCCATGACTCAGGCAGTTATAGAAAGATAAACTATATAAAGGAAAGGTCCTGATCCCATCTGTTCTCACCTTTCCAAAATAGCCACCATGAAATATGATTATCTTTGGACAAAAACTCATCAAAACTGTTATATGACTAGGCAGCTCTGCTCTTGTTCATTATGAAATTCATAGCTTTAAGGGCTGGGGCTGCTCCCCTCCCCTACTGAATTGTCCTCTACTGTGGCTGGGTATGGCAAGGAGATGTGTGGGGTGTAGTGGGGAGAGGAGGGGAGTGTATAGCATGTTGCCTGATAGTAAAGCAAAGGTTTTAGAGGCTTATTAACCTATCCTTTCTCTTCAGTCTTCATTTGGTGAGATTTTCCACATTTTTCTTCTGAATTGCTAATATTAGGAAAGACAGAAAAATATTAAATTTTATAAGCAAACAAAATTTTCTTAGTCAATTAAAACTGAATAGGAGTTGACATGTACTCTGCTGTATAACATAGAAACTGTATTGAATTGGCACTTCATTTCAAAACACACTTGAATGTCCTTATCTTTGTGCTTACTTCGGGAACGGGTTCAGTAACTATCCCTCACAATTCTTCCTGAATTATATTAAACAAACAGAAAAGGAGTACAGCAGTTAACCCTTGTTAGACAAAAATATTATAGCCAAAGGAGGTGGCCACGTTGAACTGGCATGGATAACTTGCAGCAGAAATGTTATTTGCGCGAAAGCATTTGGGAAGAGATGCTACTTTAACCACAAACGCACATACAAGCTGGGCTCTCGCTCTGATTACTGTATGCCAGGACAAACTCTTCTGTGCCTTAGACTTCAGCCATTGGTTATAAATACTTTTACTTACCACCCATCCTAAGATGTATATCAAACAAATAACAACAAGGACTTATAAAGCCACAGGAACAAGTACTTCTTAAATGATAGATGTAAAGTAAATGCAGTTGATCAAATAAGAGAGAGCTTGTGAAATGTCTGTTATCTCCTTAGCATTGAAAGTCTTAAAAGCATTGTTTGTGCCCTAGGAGATTTGAATTTCACAGTGTGAGTGTTGTAATAGAATATCCTCCCTATCAGGGTAATATCATCCATCATCCCTGTGGAAGCTCAGATTCCTTAAGGCAGAAAGAGAATGACTTTCACTGAGTCTATTTTACATGTATTGATTTACAGATCTTTGGGACACATTAGTAGTTACGTGATTTTTTTTTCCCTTTGGGGGGACTGTGTTGAGACAGGATTTCTCTGTGTAGCTCTGGCTGTCCTGGAACTTGCTCTGTAGACCAGATGGGACTCAAATTCAAGAATCTGACTGCCTCTGTCCCCATACTGTCAGGCTATGTGATTTCTTTTAAAGCTAGTTTTCCAGTTTCTTAGTTTTGTGACCAAACCAGTGAGTTGCTATTCTTAATTTCTGCTCTT